GTGTGCCTTGTGCACAAACGTATCTCGTGCCCTCATTGGTCATGTGCGCGTTCGTGTGTGTTGGAGGAGGGGCTCTGTAAGGAAGTCTGAAGGAAGGGGCAGATTTTTTTCGGCTGCGTACTTTCAAATTCTAGCGCACTCGAGCTGGTTTCTCCATCCTTACCTCCCCTACCTTTAAGAGTATAAAGCCATGTTGTGCTAAATGTTAATTCTCACTTCTTCATCATTTAGGTACAGTGTAAGCCGCCCAGTGGAAACACTCATGTCAGGAACGTCTACAAATTCTGCTCAGCACGCAAAGGTGAACAGCTTCACTTTAAACATTCCTTTATTAATGCTCACAATGTTCACTGATTTCATGCACAAGATGTACATTTTAAGACGAGGTTCTGACGTTGTCTCCTCACATGTCCTCAGTACTTCAAAAGTGACTCTGCCTTATGGTGCATAATCATCAGTAGCAGGGTCTTGTAAACAGCAGTTTCACCATGAATACACTGAAGTGAACAAGCCATTGTGTGTACAGGTCAACATGGCTCCCAACCCTCTGGCCAAAGAGGAGCTGAATCTGTTGGCCAGGTTAATGGGAGGGTTAGAAGTTCAGAAACCGGGAAATGCAGACAACGGCTTCAGAGTCAATCTCTTCGCCACAGATGAGGAAGAAGAGTGAGTCCCCTTATTTGTGTGTGTACTTTCAATGTGTTGACCTAAACTTTTATAATAACTCGAAACTAACATGGTGACTCTTTTTTATTAATTCACAGAGAGGCATTTATATCAAGACCAGATGAGCTTTCATATGGAGTCATAAAGATCCAAGCAACACAGGTAAAGCATCTTTCCTCACTAAGTGTTTCTTTAAGGATGAAATCATTGGATGTCCAGGATTTGTGTAGTGAACATTTAAGCTGGAATGCACATTTAGTGACAGCAACTAGTGATCTCAGACTAAGTGTATTGATTACTAGATTACTCTAGTTGGAGAGGTCTGTGGTCGACAGACGGAGACTTCGTGAATGACGTCAGGTTTGTTTACGTCCGGCTAGGAAAGGAGCTTGGTTGGGCCTGAGATATTAGAGCCTCTTTATCTCTTGTGTCCATTCAATCAGTTCAGTTTTTGTTCCGTTTGAATGTCTGCTTCCCTGGTTGGATACTGCTCTCCTCGCGTCGGAGACTGGTCTTCAAGGTGTCCAAAAAGTGCAATTTAGTTTTTGGCAACCATGTTTAAAGACATAGTAATAACATATGGGACCTGTCTAATAAAAACATTGACTCAAGGGTTTTATCCCAGATCTAATATGTTTGTCAAATTGTGGCCAAAATGTAGTCTGCATTGATTCAATGTGTCAATGCCTCAGCACTAGTAGGCTGGTTTGCACCGTTAGTAAGAAGGTCACATTAGTAGAATCTGCTCCAAAAGTTGCTTATCTCAATGATAGGCTTAGGGTTATTCCGTCAACGATCAGAGATGTGAGGCTTGGCCAGTCTAACAGGATTTACTTGAATGAGGTTTAAGTCCTTATGATGACCACTCAAGCCCTCTGATTGGTGGATTACATTGTCTTTCAGGACCAGCAGGCCAGTGCAGAGCTGGCCAAGATCATGGGGGAGTTTTCGCAGTCAGGAGATCAATCTCCCATCGTCAGCAGCAAAGGAGACGACCTTCTGGCCATGATGGACGGGCTGTGACATGGTCAGCCTGACAGCAATGCTCAAGGGGTGAGGCTTAATGCATCGTCAACAGTCCTTACTGTGGACAAGCCTTCTGTCTGTCTGTACCTGCATACTGTTTACACCTCACATGCAGAGAGAAAACCTCCTTTTTGGGGTGTTTCTAAAATGCAGATGTCAGCAGGTGTTCCCATTGGTCATCAAATGATCAGGATCATTTGCATAGTAAACAACAAGGACTGTGGTGAGCCAAGCTTTAAGCTGTAAAGCACTGTATTAGTATGTTTGTTGTTAACTGAAAATGTTTCTGTGCATCAAGATTTACAGTGGGCTAATATCAGCGTGTTGAACATGTGTACGTGGTTATAGCAAAACATATGTGTCTAATGTCATGATGCGTTTTAGAAATCAGAGTCAGACTGCGCTGTTCAAAACCCACATTCCTTTCATTTCAAGCAATATCTTTTTTTTTAATGTTATCTCAGTTTTTGTTGATTTGGGAGTTCTAATGGGAAAAGTAGGTTATAAGGTATTATGTGATGATTGTGGGGTTGTCAGAGGAAACCCAAGTGCTCTTTCTAGTGTGATTCAATTCCCTCAAATCTTTGTTTTCATAAGATATATTTTCATGAATCTCACTCCACTACCTTAAAACAGTCTGAGAGGAGCAACTTAGCATTTTACTACCCTGAAATGTCTCTAGTTGAGCTTGGAAATGTGCTCATTGATGAGTACATCATTATCATATAGAGTAATACAATATATGTAATCATCTAATATGTAAATATGTTTGTTGCATACTTTATTTATTTGAATGTATAATTTTTTTTTAAATAGGAAAATGCATATTAGTAGAGTTGTATATATTGTTGTATGTGCGATATATGTTTTTTAATAAAAAGGTGACGAAAAGGAACACGTGTTTGGCATCATTGTATGAACTATATCAGCGGATTTGGCAGAAATGGCATGAAACTTGTAATAGCTTGTTGTAGTACAAAGAAGTAACAGTAGGAGGAGCTGTCTGATATCTAAACACAATGCACAGCGAGTCAAACTCACTAACACAGTTGATACAGAGAATGTTAGTATGCAGTCATCATGCTGTTCTTTAGGAAAAAATGCACCAAAACGTTTTTTTTACAAATGAACTTACGTTAGGAGTTTACGATTCACTAAAACTACAAATATGTAAATAAAGGCCAATATAATCAATCACACCTTAAACCACCAAACCAGAACAATAAAAGCAAAATTGTCGATGGTAATAAATGAAATAAACTATTTTAGCTCAAGTACGGGCATAAATGAGAATTGCTATAGCAACAGCTATTTGTGTGCAGTCTGCCTGCAGATTGGTGAGACTGTCTGCTGCACTCCCAGCCACACACAAACACGTTTCATACCATGAAGGCAAAACATGCTGAGACATTACTCTCAATTGATCCGGGGGAGGAGGATTCTGATGAGGACTTCCTAATAGTCTTGGCAAAGGAGAGGCGAGAAACACTACGTGCCCTGAGGACACAGCCTGCAAAACAAACAGAAACCAGAGCTCATGCCAGTCATCCTAAACTCCCTAGAAAACCGTTTTACCCTAAAGGTTTGCAAGATTGCTTTCGTTATCATTTTAGGGGCATATCGAAAAACAACATCAATGTGACTTCTGGGATTATATAGATTTTAAATGACAGAGTTTAAAAAGTGCTGAAATAGTGGAGACATTCCCATTAGGCATGAGTAAAGGATTTTATTCAACAACAAAGTTAATCTTAATTTCCCTATGCCTGAAGAGCCACTAAAACATGTTTCTCTCTCAGACCTTGCATTTTGAGTCATGATTCAGTTTCCTCTTTAAAGACTGTGGGCAGGACACTGTAAAGCCACAGGCTGACAAGTGCTTCATGTGGCCGGGGGAATAGGCTCTGCTGAGTCAATGCAGGAAGATGAGTGCAACTCAGAAAGGCTTCTGCCATTTAGCTTGCCCTCTCTGTCTGTCTCACCTGCCCACCGGTCTGAGACTGGTAGCTGTGGGTGGAATTGAAGATGAATCGGAGAATCTAAATTGAGAACATGTGGGCTTCAATAAATGTCACACTCATTCTCATATGCTTGCTGAGTAAACGAACAAGACATTTACTTTTTTTTTTAGTCAGCTGAATTGGCAGTTGTCTGTTAGCAATGTGATCCTGCAAAATTGCAATTATTTTAATTATTTCAAAAAGGTCTAACATATTTAAAACCTAATGCTTTTATCCTATGAAGTACTGATGAAGACTCACAGTTTCACTGAGTCATGTTAACCTGAATGAAGTTCAATATGTGTGTCATTAATAAGCAGTTGCAATGTAGATCATTTGATGAACCAACTATTTATTTGTCAAAGATATTTTCACAGTTACATTCAGCTAGACTAGACACATAGACACCATCATAGGTATTTGGTGGCTTCCCTAAAAGGAAAAGGCTGTTTTATATGGATTTATATTTGTGATTTAGTTGGAACTGAAGATTTAAGACACTTTCATGTAGTATTGTTCATTTGTGTTATTTATTGGTTGTGAAAATGGGTGTTTTGAGAGCTCTTTGCCGCATCATTTTTTATTTAGTTTTTTATATTAATGTAAGAGGTTTACTTTTGTCTGTCTTACAAATGTTTTAGCACATTGGTATCTCATTGTTTTATTGGTTTAACACTTATTTCACGACACAATAAATAACCTCTGTTATTATATATTCACATTGACATTTACAACTGGTCTTTTTTAAATAGCGCAATAAACGTTTCTTAGTGTATTTAACCTTTCCCGTAAAAAGCAACTATGATGTCATGTGTTTCATTTAGCAACTTTACTTATGCAAAGAATGTCATCATCGTTTACTATGAAAAACATTCAGGTGCTGGCATTGGTCGATCGCAGCTGTCAATCAAATAAGTGTGTGCGTCATTTCCGTTGTCAGGTGGTGCTGTCGCTGTGGAAAGATGCGATCAGCGAAGAGCGGAGGCTTTTCCTTAATTGCTCATTTCGGTAACACAGGCTAAAACAACCCCGAAACCAACCCTCTGTGGTCGCTCCTGTTTAAGCGAGAAGCTCCGCGCATCCACCACAGCGTGTACCCAAGAAATATCCATGTTGTAAGCAGACAACGCAGAGTTTACCCGGCGGTTTCGAGGTAAGCGAGGGGGGAGACTACATTGCTATCTAGCTTTCTGGCAAAGCTAGCCAGCTGTAATGTTACCTACTTTGTTTAAATGGCCTCCCGGCTGCTCTGTAGCCTCCGGCTGGGTTTTAAGCTAACGTCACACGCCAGTAATAATGTTAAAACACATATGGCACGTTAAGAAAACATGCTAAAGTAGCCGTAACCTAGCTAACGGTGGCTCTGTGTAGTTTGCACTGAAAACCCAACTCCTTGTTTTTGCCCCTTTGTGTGGCCGGTGTGCCTGGAGCTGTGGTCTTTATCCGAGCATTTCAGTCCGCTTTGTTGACTTACTAAGTTTGAATGTGCACTCACTCTTGTTTTTTAATGTCCCCCTACACAAATATGCATCGTATAAAGATATATAGGTTTGTTTTTATTGAAATAACCACCTCACTCAAACGTTTTTCTCAGCGACGTTAACGCACGCTGTGTAAAGCGGTTTAGCGTTGGTGTCCTTTTAAACTACTCCGGGTGGTCAAATTACAATCGCTGTGGGCAAAACACATTAGCGCCTGACTATTTCAAGTTATCAACTGTATGTGTAGTGGTTCTGCACAAGTTGTAAGGCATAACGTCAGCGTTTTACTCTACGTCTCGTCTCGTTTTCACTACATGCTGCCAGAACCGAACGGTGTCCAGACCTTGTGGTCGCAAAAATAGCACCAATTGATATTTAACAGTCTGTGTGCATTTGTAATTACATTGGTTTAGTAGTGCAAAATTATACCTTTGTATAAAGAGAATTGTTGGGCGACCATGTTATTAAAATGTAGTCTCTACACAACTGCACTAAGAGGTAGGGTTGATAGCGGTAGATGTGTGTACGCTGACATGAATGATTGACGTTTAATTCAGGCAGCAGTTTTAAAGCCTCTATGACCTTCCAGTTGCTCTACCTCTTTGTCCTGCTTTTTGATCTATTTGTTGATACATGGATTTGGATCACACTTTCTCTCTGGCTTTATGATCGATTCACTTTTATGTTTACTCCATGCTCATGTGGACCCTATTCTTTCTTTGTCCGTCCTGACACTACATTAATTTTGCAAGCAAGCTGTTTTTGCAGAGCCAGACAAGTAGCATGGAGTCTGGGTGGGTGGACCTTGAGACACCTACGTGGTTGTTTTGTTCAGATACTATTTAAGGAGCCCACATTTCTCGTGGGCACCGGCAGCGTGTCTCTCCTCCTTTTGTGTGATATGATTCAGAGGCTGTATCTGTTCTTGTCCTCCCTCTGGTACAGTCAGAGGCAGAGGCAGTCTTGCTTGCCAGATCACTGGCTGTGCAGAGAGGCACAGCAGTGTCAGAAAAGGATAGCTGTGTGCTGTCATTGCGCTGATGTCATTTAGGTCATTGTGCATTAGTTGGTTGCATTGACCTTTTGCATTTTAGATGTGTCAGGGGTTGGCTCCACACTGCAGCTAGCAGTTAGACGGTAGATAAATGCCATTGGATCAGTTTGCTGTGTGTTATGTAGCTGTATACAAATCTGAAATACTGTATATTCATCTGGCACCATTAGAAGTGGCATGTACATTATCCATTGTACCAAGCACTTTGGTCATCAGTTGAAAAAAGTGAATAATTGTCTTCCCATGCCTCCTAAATTGCAGTAGCTGATTAATCCCTGATTTGCCTTTCATGCTCTAGACTAGAGTACGATGCTCTTACTATTGGCAGCGTGACTTGGTGTCACTCTGGCTTGTGCCATAAATGCTGTCAGAAAACCTCAGCTCATCAGACTCAGTGGGTGACGACTAGTGGAGATGGAGACAGATGGGCGAGAGACATGATGATGACACTGTCTGCTGTCTGGGATCACAAAAAGCCTCATGGAAGTGAGAATTCATACCAGCCCATACTGACTGCCAACTGTCCTGCCTCCTCTCTGCCCAACAAAACGCCAACTGGCGAGTGGCGCACGATTTTAGGCTTGAGACAGGAACATGGCTAATTCATTAAAAAGATTCAAATTCTGTAGTTTGCTCCTCTTGCATAACTGGTTTCATTTTCTGAAGTTTTCTAAGCCTCGTAAGCTCTCCACCTAAAGTATCGTTAGTGGTTTATGAGGTAGTTTATTATGTTATTAGTCTGAAGTAGCTCTCCTGGGAAGTTGGCTTAAATATGCACACCGCCGCTATCAAACTGGCAGTTTTACACATATGTCACTTTTCTGTTGACTTTCATGTTGACATAACCTTTATGAAGGCTTGGGGCATATTTCTCTCACTCGAAGTGTCATCACCTGGGAGTTTAGGACATTCTTTCAACTATCCAATAGAAACTCAGGACGACAGCATGGTGACTCATTCCTCTCGGTTCAAGGCACTACTTCCCTGTTACGGGAAACAGATGGAGTTTCATCACATAGGAACTCAGTATCAGTAAACAAAGCATACCTATTGCTCTCTAAATTTGGAGGTCGATCTGCTGTGGTGGCGGTTAAAGTAGTGGTTTAATGATGATGTGTCACACTTTGTCACTGGTTCTCCTGGCACGAGAATCTAGTTCCTTATCATAGTCTTGGCATTTTCTTAGTTTAGGCCTTGTTCAAACACGCATGTCCTGTCAGAGGACGGTCTGCGCAGATAAGCCGGCTCTACAGATTTTCAGATCAAACACACAGATTAAGAGCGGAAGGATTTTTCTAAACCCATCATGTCCACTGCAGTTGGAAAGCTGGAGATGTGTTTGTGGTTCAGTGCTGAGACTGTAATAACACATGCTTTTGTTTAAAGAATGTTGTGCTGGTGCAATGCGTTTACATGACAGCATTTGTCATTCAAATGCAGATGGTGGCTCATTCGCATAGGCTGTTGGGGAGATTGAATCTGAGGTGTCACCCTTGACGCCAGCAGCCATCATTCTGAATGGAGCCGTAATGGCCTCGCATTCACACTGAGGTGTTGTTAAATGTGTGGGAGGGTTATTTAAAATAGGCTGGGAGGAGCTGCCCTGAGGTTTACCTCCTTTCTCTTCACCGATCAGTGCAGTCCAGCCTGGAGTGTTACTGCTGAAGCTCTGGGTACAGGATTTATTTTGAAACATACTATTTATAAAAACCATTGTTTGGTTGCATATCACTGCTGCTTTGTTTTGTCATAAGTTCACAGTTTGTGTATTCAGTTACTCTTTAACTAATCTAACCTGATGTTGTTCCTCCTGTAGAGCTCCAGTATGTCCAAGCGGCGCTCTTCGGAGAGGGGGGCTGGAGAGTCATCAGGCAGGGCCAGCAAGCTGCAATGTCCTGGGATATCCGGAAACAACGCCAAGAGAGCCGGGCCCTTCATCCTTGGTAAGGAAGCTGCTAGTGTTTGCACACGCACCAAAAGTATGGACTCTAACATGTCTCTTGATGCACGTTTGTCCCCATGTGCACGTTTGTCCCCATGTGCAACTTGGGCACGTTTGTCCCCATGTGCAACTTGGGATTGTGCAGGAAAGGTATTTTGGTGTGAGTGTGAGAGTCGTGCGGTGTCTTTGTGTGTGCTCACGCCTGAGACAAGAATGTGAAGAATTTAGCTGATCCCCCTGAATTCAGCCAGAAAGTTCTAAGTCTGTGTTGGAGCAAGGTTATTTCCTCCTGCTGGATTAAAGGCCCCTCCCCTACTCTCAGACCTGTATGTTTTCTACTACATAACTCCTTGACTATTTGCAATGCAGAGTGCCAAAGACAACATAACACTTTGGGTGTTAATGGATACGAGCACATGTAGCCTTTAATGAGTTGCAGTGAGAGCACACACTCCAGCATGTTGCCTGCCTTTTGGTCATGCAGCTGTTGCTCTTCTTATCCTCTGCAGGGCCTCGCCTGGGCAACTCACCAGTACCCAGCATAGTGCAGTGTCTGGCCAGAAAGGACGGCACGGACGACTTCTATCAGCTCAAAGTAAGTCTGTCAGGCTTGGCGTATTCTTCATTCTTTCCTCTCTTACTTATGAGTTTAGACTGTTCATTAAACATATCATTCACGACAAAGTTATGAAGCCCCAGAGGACATCTGAACCTTTGAACCTTCCTTATTCCTTGTTCCTTTTATGGCCTCCTGTTTCAGTCTGGTGCAAACACAAAACCTTAGCGGGGCAATGTGTTTATTGGGGCTATCTAATGTCTGTTGCACTCGGGAAGGAGCTGTAGCAGTGGGGAAAGGAAGGTAGTGCCCCACCTGGAATGTCTACTTGTAACCCCCACGACCATGCAGTGAGTCAGTGTGTGACCCTCCCCTCATACCAATGACTGCAGCGCCTCAGTGTCTGCTGCACATACTAATGTTTGCTTCACATTAGTATGTGAGCTATTTTTTTTTTTAAGCTGCATAACTCCTATAGAATGTACATTTGAAATGAAACTTGCTCTCATGTCTTCACTCATTTTGAATGTGCTGTGTCAGGAGCGTAGATTAGCTTCATACAAAGTTAAAGCTGTTTTTCCACGGTCTGATCCTGTGTGAGCTCCTGTCTTGTGACCTCTAATGTTTGCTCTCTTCTCGTGTGTGCTTTCTGCAGATCCTTACGCTGGAGGAGCGAGCAGACTCTGCAGGGGAGACTCAGGAGGAGAGGCAGGGGAAAATGCTGCTGCACACAGAGTTCTCCCTCCTTTCCCTGCTGCATAACCAGGATGGGGTGGTCCACCATCACGGCCTCTTCCAGGTAAACACCTTCAAACTATTTCCAATAAAACTACATTTCTGTTAACAGGGGCATGGTATATCATCAGTCTTAATTAGGGATGTCCCGATCACCTTTTTCTGCTCCCGATCCAATTCCGATCATTTGATTTTGACAATTTGCCGATACCGATTTTTCCCGATACGATCTTTATGCAATGCATTAAGAGAAAAAAAAGCATTCAAGTTGTCCCTTAAGGTTATTTTTTTATTTAAATTGGATATTCTATCCAACATGGATATAGCTTCTTTCTTTCACAGCAGCATTGGATCAGTTCAGTTGTGCAGCATTGGATCAAAACAAAATAAAGCTTTCAGTACTCGTTAGCTTACTGCTACAATTAGACACTGCGCCCACTCTGTTGCCAGATTTGAAAGAAATAAGCAACCAGGTCTATGAAAACAAGCCCCAAAGAAGCAACACATACATGATGTTCTGTAATTTGAAACCAAAACTAAGGCCTCAGGATGACTTTCAGACTTGAACATGNCTCGGTGTGTCTCTCCTGACTCCCTCCTACTTCGGGATATTTTGACTTAGACGACCGGTATGTCCGTTCCGGGTAGGACTACGTCCATGTCTGGCCGGAGGCAGACCCGGAATATCATTCGATCCACCTCGTCCAAACCCTCCCGTGGTCTTGTTTGATCGAAGAAAGTTTGAAGTGAGGGAGCACAGACCTACAAGGTCACTTTTGTACCTTTCGAGTCTCCTTTAGACTCGAGATTCCTAGGAAGTCCAGGGGGTGTCAGTCTAGAGTGACACGTGTGTTGGGACTACCATGTCCGGCGTGTACCCCGAAGTTTCCGAGACCTCAGCTTCCTTCTGCTAATGGGGGTATAGGGAGGAGGGAAACCTCTAGAGGTGAAGGGGGTAGTTGAGACCCAGGGGGTTCGTTTATGGTCCTGGACTTAGTACATCCGTTGGGGGGGAGAAGGAGAGGAGCACAATACCCATAAACGGAGCTCTAGAAGGACTAGTGTCTACAGTGAAGAGAATATGGAGGTAAGTGGGGGGGGGGGGGGAGAAGGACAGGAAAAGGACATGGCTTTACTACTAGCTTCCTGACAAAGGGCAGACATGGGAGACTGAAGGGGTTATTCTAGTTAGATAGGAGAGACAAGAGAGGACAGAGACAAACCATTTGGTACGAGTGACAAGACTCTGTTCCCCCTAACATTTGTTACCCAGAACTACGGGTGGTTCATTGTGTTTCTGATAATATACAAAAGGACAGTGTCACTATTACGAAGTCTTTTGGAAGAGCTCACCAAAGTTTCTTTAAGACTTATTTCGAAAAATAGTCATAAATGGACTCTATTCATCGTAAAGTGGGAAGGAAACCTCTCTATTAGTTGTCGACTCTATAGAATGTTCGACTCACCTAAAATGTATAGTACTGTCTTACTAATAAACGTCCTTACGAGGATGGGGACACCTTATAGTCCATAAAATCTCGTAGTATCCGTCCGATCCACACTCCATGGACCCCTTCAAGGTGGTATTTGCTTGACCTTACCCCTTTTGGCAACCTAGGAGGGACGGTTCCTGTATAAACTACCCATTGCGAAGAGAGAGGGGGGGTCAGAGAGGCTGTCATGGTTGGCCTACTTCCGGAGGAACCGTTGAGCCAGTATGGCGGCATCTAGCGGGCTGACGGGCTGGGCGTCGAGACCCAGACGCCTCACAGGGGGGATGCTGCCAAACTGCCGCTTGGTGAGAAAGCTCTTGGCCTCGTGGATAGTGTTCTTCTCTTCAGCCAACAGCAGCTGCTGGCGCATGTAGTTCTCAAACTCGTACTGTGAAGACTCTTCCATCGCCTTGGCCTGAGGGAAGAAAATGTTGTCCGTTCAATGTGCTGCAACACTGAGCTGATAACATGTTCTCTAATCGTATCAAAGAAGTGATGTAAACATGGAGGAGAATACAAATGTAACCATTGCTCTGACTTCGGATCTTTCCAACAGGCTCTATATTTAGATCTGTAATCATTTACCTCTTGCAGATGTTCTGGGTGATTGACCTGATCGTCAATATCCGGCACCACCTGTAGAGGGCCACTCATCGAGGAAACCGACTGCCTGTGATATGGAAAACACAACATGCAGATTAACAACCATGAGACGTCACATTTGAAATGGCCACCGTATGGCTATTAGCGAGGTACTTATGTGGGTGGCTAGAAAATACAATTAATGTAAAGCCAACCAGTGGAAATGATTCAAAAACTAAATTGGAACTAAAAGTAGAAATTGTAGACAAAAATGATGACATATTTCTTAGCTATTAAACAATAACTCATAACATGACGCGCAACACCAATGATGTAATGTTTCAAACTTCCAGCAGGTGGAGCACTTACCATGAGGCGATGATGCCGCTGAGAGACTCCAGCACCTCTCCTGCAGCCAGCCTCTGCTGAGGGTCCAACACAAGCAGCTTCCGGATCAGGCACACCGTGTTCTCCGACACACGCCCGTCCCTGAGAGGAAGAGAAGGATAGAGGTAAGATAATATGTAAGAAGCTGTTGAAAGATTACAAGGACAGTCTCTTAAATCCAGACTGAATATAAAAATATGATGGGCTTGAATAACTATTTTATAAAAACAAGTATACAATTATTCATGTTTTTTAAAATGCTGTAGGTTTTTCCATTGCTTCTCGTCTCTACTCACTCTGGGATGGAGTATTCAGCAGCCTTGATCTTGCGGAAGAGCTCTTGAGGTATGCTGTCATAAAATGGGAACTGGCCGTAGAGCATGGTGAACAGAACCACGCCGAGGGCCCACATGTCACTGGGTTTACCTCGGTACGGCCGGCCTGGGGGACAGGAAGCAGAGGAGATCAACAAATGTGTCATTTGAAAAGGAGACCGCAAAGATCACTGCTGCTGTGCCTTAACAAACAAATCAATTAAACCATCGTTTTTTTTAAATCAACATTTGTGTGTTGACAGTTTTTGCCCCATGAGACACGGGGGTGATTGACCCTGAGACGAGTTCAAGTCCTGTAAGTCAGCAGGTCCAATGATTAACACGATGAGCAAACACTATGACTCAGCATCAGGGGTGTCAAACTCAAGGCCCGGGGGCCAAATCTGGCCCGCGACTTCATTTAGAGCTTGCAAAGAATATAACATGTTTATTATACGGTTACATGCTACTTTACAGAAGCACGTTGCCTATAAACAACATGTCCCACAATGCATCTCAAATTTGACTTTCTCAGAATTTGACTTTTTTTCTTCAACATACAGTATGCATTTTTTCTCAGAATTTCACTTGTCAAAATATGCTATTTTTCTTAAAATTAGCCTTTTTCTCATAAATAGATTTTTTTTTCAAAATGTCACTACTTTTTTTTTTTTTTCCAGAATGTGGCTTTTCTTTTAAAAATCATATTGTGACATTCTCACTGAAGAGACTTGCAATTATTTGCCCTAGACTTCTGCTTTCAGACGTAGTTAGTTATGAAGTTATTACCTTATCCGATAATAATCCAATGCAGAGGCAATAATGTAATATAATACATTATTTCATATATATTCAATATTTATATATGTCTTTTTATATAGTCTTAAAGTTAGAACCGGCCCTTTGAGTNATTTTTTTATAAATACTTTTTAAAAAAAAAATTATTCAATGTTACAAAACAAGAATGACCATGTTCAAGTCTGAAAGTCATCCTGAGGCCTTAGTTTTGGTTTCCCAAAACTAAGGCCTCAGGATGACTTTCAGACTTGAACATGGTCATTCTTGTTTTGTAACATTGAATAATTTTTTTTTTAAAAAGTATTTATAAAAAAATAAAAATAAAATCCCGATCCCCTATTTTTTTTCTCCCGATTCCTATCTTTTGAAAATCACGTGATCGGCTCCGATCCCCGATCACGTGATCGGATCGAGACATCTCTAGTCTTAATAATTAGTTTATGGTGCATTTTCTGGGCGAGTATCCTATATGATTAGACATGATTAATACACCAACGTTACCATGGAGAACTTTCAATTGGTCACTATTGGCGCTTTTCCACTGTAGCACGGTTTAAGCGGGCCGGGCCAAACCAGGCCCGCTTTTTTTGCTTTTCCACTAGGGGGTAGTTCCGGCCCAGGGCTACTTTTTCACCTTTTTTCTGGCCCTCCAGAATGGAGGTTCTTACCGGGCCAACAACCGAGCTGAATATGCTAAACTAGTGAGGTAAACACTCTCGACTGCTGAATGGTCAGAGAGAATCGCTGGCAAGGGGGCTACAATTTCAACCAAATGAAAATATTTGACCGTGATTTAATTGTAATACACGTTTCAAAAATGATGCCGAAGTAACAACATACTGATACCGGTTAGTAAAAACCATGAATTAATGCTTTGACAATTCTGCAGACAGACGGCAGGTGAAAAACCTTTTTAAAATGCGTGTTTTCTGAATGTTGATCGGATTGATCAGGCTAAGCTAATGTTGTAAATGCTCCGACCGTCCATACTCACAACAACGGCCTACAGACATAAATAAACCAGCGGCTGTATTCACCATGACACAGACAGTCTGTGGTTTGTACTTGTTTAACATTTGTTCAGTTTCTGAACAGATATGTGGAGCTCTGAGGGCTAACAGCTGATGTTTTGGTTTTGTGGTTCGCATTAAAGAGGACTTCACGGCGGTTTCACGCAGCGTCGCTCCGCCCGCCGAACAGCCGATCGCCCCGCCTACACTGCGTTACTATAGTTACTACCCCTGTTACTAAACTGTAATGGAAACGCAGTATAAAGTGAGCCTGGCCTACCAAGGCCTAACCATAAGCTGTGCAGTAGAAAAGAGCCATATGTGGTTTCACTGTGTAAGAATAATATTCATTTGTCCAACCAGCAGCTTGCATTGTCCATATCAGGGTTGTTTCAAGAGAGAAGTAGGCACCATTTAAAAGCCATATTTATCTGCAGTCATCTCTATTTACAGCCCCATCCATTCACAATGCCCCCCCCTTCACCCGTCTTCCCGTCTGACTCCTCCTCTAACTTTGTTATTATTCCACCTCTCTAGATCTCTCTGTTTTTTATTCTCTCTATCACATCCTGTCTTTTCCACTGTCCCGGTGTTCTCAGAATAGCAGCCATGCACTCTGATTCATTTAGACCAGCCATATTGATTGGGTTATTATAGAGCATCTCCACCCTGAGAGGACCAGTTAATACGTGTACGCTTTCAGAGGTGCCGACTGCATCTGAAAAATAACACTGACAACTTGATACAGAAATCAATAAGAAGTGGTGACTCCGCTAAGACGACCGGAGTTTGGACAAAGAGGAATGACCTTCCACCACCCGGTGTGGAGGGGGTGGGTCTGTCTACTCGGTTACACGCAGGCTGCAGATTGATGGCCGCTAAGCTGAATGAATCGGTTTGATCCGCCAGCATGGTACAGGAGTCCATTCAGGTTGATGCATTCATGTATGCCTCAACCTATATCGATCGGACACTGTTGGGAAGTGCTTCTAAAATGCATCAACAACAACAACAACAACAACAACAACTCTTGTCTACCTACAAAGCGAGCCTTTTTCTGGAGATTGCTGCTCACACTTCTCTTTGTTGTTGTTCCCCCAGGATCGTGCCTACGAAATAGTGGAGGACATGGAGGCCAACAAGGTGCGAAAGATGAAGAAGCGGATCTGCCTCGTGCTTGACTGCCTGTGTGCTCACGACTTCAGCGACAAGACGGCAGATCTAATAAACCTCCAGCACTACGTAATAAAAGAGAAGCGGCTGAGCGAGCGCGAGGCCATCGTCATCTTCTACGATGTGGTGCGTGTCGTGGAAGCCCTTCATAAGGTGAGTCCATGATGACATTTGATGCACTACTCTAAGAAACAGTGGACTCAAACCAATTCAATTGACCTCAATGAAGAGAGCTTGGATACTATGTTTTTGTCAACACGGAATAAACCCTTTTTGATATTGTTTGTTAGTTAGTTGCTAGGGCTACTCAATTAATCGTATTTTAATCGCAATTACCATTTTGGCTTGCAACGATTATGAAAACAACATAATAGAAATAAAACGATTATTTTATTTATTTATTTATTTATTTTGTATTCAGTTGAATTATACTTAAAGTTCAAGGTAATAACTTTGCACATCCTTCCTGATTACTCATCTCCCATGCCTCACTCTCTAGAACCAACCAATTGTTTTGATACCAATGATTCAGCGAGCATGACCTGACCAAACCTTTTCTGTTCTTTCTGCATGCAGAAAAACATTGTGCACAGAGACCTCAAGCTGGGAAACATGGTGCTGAACAAACGGTAAGCTTTAACTCATTCTCTCACTCGGCGAGGGCAATAACCCCTCCCATTACACCGGGTCAGTCATTCTGTCTCCGCTCGCATGTACGACGGACCACATCCGTCCCCAGCAGCTTGTGTGCTGGTGTGCGTTTGACTTTAAACCCAAGCAGGGGTCACATTCTCAGACTAAGAGTGAGATCAGTTATCGAAACCTAAGACCCAGCTCTCCTGTGAGTCTGGGCCGGTGTCTGCGTGCTGAGGACAAGCTGATGATTCATTACCCGTAGGTTGGATTTTTGGACATTGGTGCAAAATGGAGCGAAGAATATCCTCCTGCTTTGTTTTCAGTGGCAGAGTGAGCAGTGTCGTTCAGCACACAGGGCCACGGTTGGTGCACCTCAGGTCACGGAGTGCTGCACTTCAGATAGACCCTGCTGAATGGGAAACCACTCATCTGTAAAAACCCTCTCAAAGCACCAAACGTACAGTGTGTATGAGAGAGGTGTGTGTTCAAGGGGTGGAAGCCACTCTCACGGTGTGACTACTGCTGTTTTAGCATTTTCTTGCCTTTTTATGTTATATATATATATTTTTTAGCCCAATTTGAGATGATTTGGATAGATTTAGCTTTGAAGCTTGCATGCACATTAATGGAGACTGATAATCATCCCACAAAGACTTCTTTGGAAGGGACATGACTAACACCGAAACACACTCTCTTTTCCTACGCTTGCTACACACACACACACCTTCGCAGTCAAACATTGAATATGCTTGCATCACACACACGTGAGTCTAATTATGGTGTTGTCACACTCACTTCTCATACATTAGCTGCAAGTGTGAGCACACGCATTGAAATGTCGCGTTCTCGGCTCATATCTTTACCACATACACACGCGTCTCAGGCATCAGAGCCCCCNNNTGGTGGTGGTGGTGGTGATGAAACAGGAGAGTGTTTTGGCCAGAGGAGGGTGGTGGGGAGAGGAGCAGGGGGGAGGAACACTCCGTCCCAGCTGGAGACAAAGGAGAGGCCTGCCAAAGGCCCCATAGCTCCGAGCTGACTCACACTGCAATGCACATCACACACACACACACACACACACACACACACACACACACACACACCATTATTTATTTACCCTTTACTCTACTTTTTTATATATATTTCTTTTACACCCCGATCCCCTTTCCTGCTTTGATTGTTTTTTCTGTTTTATGCCCTTTTTCCTATCCACTTTTTTTCTCTCTTCACCTCCTTCCCTCTCCTCTTATGAATTACACTCTGCTTGCGTGCACTGTCACTCCACCCGGGATGTGTATGCACTGCAGTACGGGAAGGATACGGTCAATTTTAGATGCCGAGACCGATCCCAAAATCCCCTCTCCACACACGGCATCAACAGCCTCAGCAGTTTGTACAAGAGTGATGTGATTTCCTCTTGCAGAGCCAGCTGTTATGAAAGCAGGATGTCATAAATCAATCTGCTAGCTTGTTGTATGTCAGAGCTGTGTTGACTTAAATGTAAGGAGACTCTTTACAGCAAGGTGATTTGTTTTATTTGTGTATGTTCCAGAGAGCTTCTGTTGGAGCACAGTGTTTGCTGTGTTGTCTCAGGGATGGATTGCCCTGACTGAATCAGAAGTCACGTGGTTTGTTGTTGTTGTGCTGTCTGGCACAAATAAGTCTTTCTGGAACTATCTTGAAAATGTTTATCCTACATTGCTGAGCGAGGGAATTATACTTGACGAGCAGTAGCCACAATTCAATAAGCCAACCTTTTTAGAAACTACAATATTGCAACTGTAAGTTTGGGCACAAGTGTAACCCTCCAGATGATGCTTCTGAGGAAGTGAGCTGTGGAAGTTGCCCTGCGTTTAACCTCCCTTCTCCTCAGCTTGTGTATTTTCAGCAAAACATTTTGCGGGAAGGGAGGCAAAATCATGCTGGCTGTTTAGGTTTCTGGTTTCCTGACTTTCCCGGGGTCACATGACCAGGAAGCAGAGATGGTGTGGTCGCTCTTCAGTCCTCGGGGACCCTTGCCTCACGAGGCAAACATGCAATTGAATTTACCCAATCTCCGGTGCACGACTAGAAGCCTGGGTCGTTATGCGCACAGACAAAAGAACAGGCTCCTCTATAAAGGAAGCTTTTATGTCGAGGGTCCTTGAAGCACTGCACGCTGTTCTGGCCAATCTTGTGTGCAGATCACAAGGCCACTGTATGGTTGTATAGACTTGGAACACGCAAGCTGTTGGAAGGGCTGGATCACATAAGTAGCTGGAAATGGTGTGAACCGAATGTTCTGAGGGACTTTGGAGATTCAAGCCTTTGGTTTCAAATGGAGTGTTTGACAGAAATTGGCTCCAGACGTTGTAATGGGAGCAGTGAGTGTGTGAGTGTGTGTGAGGGAGCGTGAGGGAGCAGGGTGTGAAAGTGAGAGAGAATAAGGGAAGCTGTTGACCTCATGCTTTTTAGAAAGCGGATGTGGGTGAGCATCGTGTTTATAGAGAGGACCCGCCAAGGCACAC